GGAGCAGGAACTGAACTGTGTCAAAGATCCTCGATATCGCACATGGCTCGAACATTTCCGTCATGGGCAGCAAGAAAACAAAAAATGCTTTTTATTTAGCAGATCGACATTTCGACCAAATACGTGTCGTTCGTCATCAAGGTTCTGAAAAACCAGATCAATCTACGTTAAAGTTCGTTTGTATCTGATGTGACTGGCAGCACGTTAACTTTACTGTGTCTGATAGCAGCGACAATAAATGAAACATCGGTTTTTAGAGAGTCGAGAAGTGCCAATAACACTCCTACAAGTTCTGCATGATTTGGTAATGATGTAAAGCCACACCATCAGTAACAGCTTTAAGCTTTATTTAGTCACTGCATCAGCTGATAACCGTGGATTTCAGTAGGTATGTTTCTGCAGTCTGGGTTGAGTGACAACCGCGCGTTTTGCACTGTATGAATCCTCCAGAAAAATATTATTAATATGGAGAACAATCGAAGAGAAGGCACGGCCAAATGTGGAACGTTTAAACGCAAATCAAACTTTCCGTTCAACGTTTTCCACATCGACGGACGATGTAGTGAATCAAATGCACTCAGAAAGTCGAAGAAACTGGCAAAACAAAACAAATGGAATTGTCGGCATTGCTCAATGATCCTACGCAGAGTGAAATTTTGGTCCCGGCAGGAGTACGCCATCCGGAAGCATGCTTGATTTTGGTGAAAAGAACGATGTCACTGGAATGGAACATTTGAAAATGTATCAATGTCGCGAAGTTAATCAAACTGACCAAAAGAACTGTTTGTCAAGAGACAGGCGTACATACCTGTAATCAGCTAATCTGTATGGAAGTGATATTGATTGTATCTGGGCGCTTCGCAATCGAATGGAACTGCTACCATCCTCCAGCATAGATACTAGTAAAATAATAGTTTCCCCGGGTTGACTAAACGAACCAAGCAGCGCTGACATGATTTCTCCTCTTCCTCTATTGGTAGCCTAAAACAGAATTTAGAAAATAAATACTATAAGCATGAAAATAAAAACAACGAATCAGCTATGTAAAAAGAGTTGGACATATTAACAAAAATAATTTCTCAATCGTACAATTCTAGCCACACTCTTATCGAGCGTTACTGCTGTACCAATTCCTCGTTCCTAAACACCAGGGGAGCCACTGAAGCAGATCACGATTAAATGAGATATTATCACCTGCAATGCATCGATGGAATTCGTCATTTTATTACTAGATCAATATCTTTCACCATATTAATAATTTTTCATGCCATAAAACCTAAGAAAATGGCCAAGCAAGGGAACGAAAATCGTCTGCTTGAGGAGCAAAAACGTTACCATGCATGGATATCCTATCGAAAATTCTCCCTCATTTAGGGAAAACCACGTAACAACTATCCTCATCCTTTTCTAGATAATTCATGGGAGAAGTTTCTCAGACACCAGTGTTCCTGAAACTGTCAGTAATATATACGCTTCAAATATCTGCAGAAGAACTCGAAACGTCATATCTCGACTGAATTTTGTCTTAGACCCACATCTGAAAACAAGGAACTAAGTTTTGTGAATAACTACCTCTGCTTTATACAAAGATTTTGCCCATATCGGGGCATTCTACAATCTCAGACAAAGTATATGCATTAGTCTAGGCTTTTCAAAATGATAGTAAAACTATAATTCAGTAATATTATGACTATGAATCATAAATTAATATTTTACCTTAAAACGAAGAGCTATTCGATGTGCCCTCCGCTCCTCTATCAGCCTTTCGGTGTCGTAAGCAATATACTGATGACCGTTGAAGTCAACTGTTCTTGCTTCTAAAAGCATCGACGTTACACTGCTGCCAAATAATTCTATAAATGCAACACTTACCGTCAGCGCATGTGTCACCTTCATAGTCGGTTTCAAAACAGTCGCAACGATAATGCGAAAAATAGTTTTGACACTTATTCTTTGACACATGATGACACGGTGCGGACGCACACAGGTCCAGGCAGCCATCAGAGGTGCCAGCTGACAACTCCGAAATCGGCAAGTAAAACGTTCTCGTGCGCAGAACCACTGAAATCGACGAAATGCATCCTACCACGCTGTGCTCAATGCTGCCTTTAGCTGAAAATCATAACGGTAACGAGTTTAATACTTAATTTCAAAGTCAATGGCCAAGAATGATCATGTCAATAAGTGAAACTTGCAACTAACACTAAGAGGCGAATATTTCTTCCATATACAAATTTCGCTGCGTACGGCATCGCTCCCTTGATCCTACTTGCCAAGGAAATATTTAAGCAGGTTGCGACTCCATGCCAGATACATGTACTTCATTTTTTAGATCACATTTACTAATCACGAACGATATTTCAAGCGCTGATCTCCTATGCTACTGAATAATCAAGTATATATACTCGGATAACTGAGTGGGTTAAAAGGGCAATAAATGTCTTAAGACCAGATGTCACGGCATACAGCGTCACCCTCTTGCTTCTAGCCTCTGACTACCTAAGCTTGTAACGGCTCAGTGGCATTTGATTTCCTGCAGAATTAGGAGGGTCTCATTATTTTAACCGCTAGAGCAATATCTTACTCATCACGGACGGTGTCTCACAAGTTAATTCTTGCGATATACTGCCGCTTCATATATGATGCTAAATCAGTTAGGGAGCGAACCCTCAATTCCAACAGGGCACGTTATGACTCTGCGCATCCCACTAGTCAGCTTTACCATCGCCCGTGGAATCCAGTTATGAATCACACGAGGTTTTGTCTCGCTATGAACTGATCTGAAAGCCGTCCAAATGTTGGAAGTGCATGCATTGCTCAAAAAATCGTTTAAGTATTAAGATGTCTGCGTACGGGCGTTCTGTCGAAATCCGGGAATCGAAAATCTTAGCTAAGGGCTAGCACAATATTAACATTCTCACAATGGGACAAGCAGAAAAACCAGAAATAACAGAACCAAAGTGCTAGAAGCTCAAGTGAACATATCTGAATAAAAAATATTTTAACAAGATTTCCAAGTGTGTATTTTATTCGACTGAAATTAACCGCGAACAGTATCGTCTGAACACAACAAAAGTGCGACAGTAGCTGCACAGTAACAGATAGGTAAAAAAGAACTCATTTCAAGTTAATTAGCTTGTGCAACGACTGTTGCTATCAGCATAAGCGCATCCGTTATTCTAGTACGAAACAGTCTCATGAAATATATATACACAGAAAGTTAGTGGCACGTCAGAATGTTATGTACAAGAACTCATAATTGTTAACTGTTAGGAACCATAGATGTCACAAACGAATATCGTGAATCATAATCAGCTTATTGTCCTATTATAGAGCTATGAATTATGACGAAAAAAGCGATGTACCAACTTAAGACCAGGTGAGGCTGCTAGTAACAGTAAAAGATACAGTAACAATACAACGATCAACTAAGTTTCAAGCTAGCTAAAATTGGCTAGTCACATCCAAGTGGTGCAAATGACATAAGATAACTGTCTTGCTGGAACAGGCGTTCAAAAAACTATTAAAAAATCAGCCTTCAAAAAGTATCATCAAACCTTTGTTTTGCTGAAAAGCGGAGGACTAATATACATTTCACACTTTCTACTAATAGGATATACGAATATGCGAGCTAGTAGATCAGCGTTTCTAACTCAACAGTTCACCATCCTCCAAAATAAAACAAACGGGACACCACAAAATCAGACCTAACTACTACAGGTGACGATTCTTCTCTGCGTGAAGCAGTGAAGCACTGTGGGAGGTGTGTGTGTGTGTCGGTAATCCCAGAAATTTTATCACTACTGAATAAAACTTCGATTCATTTTCGATGACCGCATCTCCTTTCAGCCAAGGCAGTGATTCCAAAGTTCCCAATCATATACTAGTGTCTGAGCCTCGGCAGAAGACAACCGCAGTCAAGAACAGACTACTTCAGTACACTCAGAAAATCTTGGCCGCCCCATGGGTGTTTCGCCGGTCGGATGAGCAAGCTGTGGTTACTTCACTTTCCTTTCCGGAAACATTCGCAACACATGCTTAAACAATCGCAGCCGTGACTTCTCAATATGAAGAAGCAACGGTTGTACGCCAAGGTTCTCTACAATTTCTGTACTCCGGACAGTATCGAGACGCTCGAGGATAGCAATCAATCACAGAAGACCCATTTCAGTCGACTGTACCCGGGATCGAAGTCGATTGTATACGTTTTCAGTCATACTCATGACCGTACATAAGCATGGGGATGAAGATCGACCTAACATCGGCAGATTAGTCTTCAGACTCAGCCCTTCCTTCATCACAATGGTTCGTGGTAGTTCGCGAAGAACGCCAATGATTACTCCAATCCATAGGTCAGTAACTTTCTTAAATTTTCTATCACCAGCAACACGACTCCGCTTGAACTTCTCCACCTGCTCCACTGTTTCTCCACTAATCTGAAGAGAGCAGCGGCCAGGAGAACGAAAAAACAGTAAATTTTTCGTTTTAGATGTGCTTACATGCATGCCAGCTACGTCGCACAGGCTGCGAACCTTTCCAGAGAGTGTACATCACTTTCAGAAGATGTCAACAAAAGATACTCTTTAAGCACCAACATCCTCATCTCGTCATTTCCTTCGCTGATACGCTCATCGCCCTGACTATGTCTGCATATATCTTTGTACAACAGAAACAAGAGAGGGAGAGAACGCAGCTTTGGTGCAGACAAGTGCCAACGCTGAAAGATTTCGACATCATGCCATTTACTCTGACGCAGAACCTGCTATAAGCACATAGCGACTGGATGGCCCATAGCAAATGACCATTGATCCCATATGTTCGCAGGCATACTCATAAACTGTTGCGCAAAATCCGGTAATAGGCTTTCTCTAGGTCAATACAGCACAAGTGATGGGTAGGCGAACTCCCACGATTTCTCAACAATCTGGTGTAGGGCGAATACATGGTCAAATATGCTTCGTCCGGGCGGAAGCCACACTGCACTGCTTGCATCTCGGAGTCGGCTATTCCGCGGCACCTCCTGTCTAGCATTTTTTGCAGACTTTACCAGGGAGACTCGATAAGGTAATACCCCGAAAACCGCAACAATGCCTGTGGTCTGCCTTCTTGTGCAGGGGTATCGCAAACTTCGTTCTTCAGTCCGTTGGTGTCTTGCCCGTAACCATTACAGTCTGACAAAGGCGTGTAAGCAAAAACATGTCGAATGCTTTAAGCGTTTCAGGGCGGATTTCATCGATTTCAGCAGCCTTTCGATTTTTCACGTTTTTCACAGCTTGTGTGATTTTATCTTTACATAAACACTAATATCCGCTCGCTGCTGCTCTACAGTCGAGTCTTCTTGCGGTTGCTCTGGGCTAAGAGTTCGTCAGAATACTGTTTCCGTCGCCGCAGAATGTCCTCATTTTCGGTGGTAGGGTGTTCCAGACCTGTCCTTCAAGACTGTTAGACTGCCCTTCTTTTCACCTCGGAGGCGGCAAATGGTTAGCTAGAATTCCGTTTGTTGTCAGGAAAATTGACTCCAACATCTCACTAAACCTCTCCCAGGAGTCGGCTTCGGTTTTCATCAATGCTTTTCTGCCGCCTCGCGCGCTTCTACATGCCATATGCGCGTTGAAAACTCTTTGTTTCCAAGCTATTTCTTGAATACAGCCTTATTCCGTTTAACTGCCAGTTGTACCTCTCGTGTCCACCAGGAACTTCTTTTCTGACCTCCAAGTGGCAGGCCAACCCGTTTGAATCCGCAGCATTCGGTTGTAACCCGCAGTACGCCGCCCTTGAAAAACCTTCACTTGGTTTACACATCAGGGATTAGTTTAAACGGTCGTGAGATGTTTTGTTCCCGTATCCACAGAAGATAATGCTTCCCATTTGATCTTCTGGTTGCTTCTGCCATCAGGTAGTCGCACGTTACTCCATATACTATAGCACTGCGTGCCAACAACAATGTGCTGATCGGTTGACAGCACTACGCATCTCTCAACGCGAACATTCATGACAGACCGTTGGAGGTCAGACGATATCATTATCAAATCGATCAACTTCTGTGAACCAGCCTTCCTCAGACCAGCCAAACTGATGGACGCTTGGATGCTCGAAAGTGTTCATAACAGACAGTCTCATTCGCACGAAACCGCGACATCTTCATGCCGCTAATGTTGAGGTCACTACGGTCGTTCTTTCCACTGGAAACATGTAAACCGAACTGCTATGATTTCTAACGTACTTTTACTATCTGGCGTAATCGAAAAGTTTGGTCAG